TGCCTCACATTCACCCATTCACTCACTCATTCATACACCGACGGCGGTGTCAGCCATGCAAGGCGCCATCCAGCTCGTCGGGAGCAGCTGGGGTTAGGTGTCTTGCTCATGGACACCTCGACACTTGGTCAGGTGGATCCGGGGATTGAACCACCAACCTTCCGGTTTGTAGACAACCTACATGAACCACTGAGCCACTTCCGCCGGCTTATTTATTTTAATATCTACATCCCTAGTGCTTTTTCTGTATTTTGGTTAAAGTTGCAATATTTTTATCTTCCCTATTGTGATGTATATATTAGTAAAGCAGCTTCTCGAACAAGAAAAAACTGTCGGGCAGGGCTTGATTTTGCCCATTGGGAATTGATTGGATGGTTGTGGTTTGCTATTGGTCGATCTCACGTGAGTGACATGTTGTCCCGCCCCTTGCGCCAGTAAACATGTCATCAGAGAAGAGAAGAGATATCGCTGCAAGTTAATTTGATTAAAAATCATGAAGGATGATGTTTACGGATAATTCATTTATTATAAGTACTGTAATAAAAAAAAAAAAAAAAAAACACTTGTCAATTTTGATTTCATGGTGACTTTACAACCTTGTTACAACCTTGATGTTGATCTTTCACTTTGTGAAAATAGTTTTCAACCTTAGCATTATCAAACTGCCCGGTAGGGTCACCGTCACCCTTCAAGAGTTGAGTTTGAAGTGTGTGAGTGTGTAACATCAGCAAATATCACGGGCCACTGCAGCGGACGTGTCAGAGTTCTGGAACAGACACACTCACATGCGGTTCTGCCATCTCAACAGTTTTTAGAAAAGGCAGGTGAGAGTCAAGGGCCTGGAGTCCTCTTTGCTGTCAGTGAAGAGAGCTCATCCATTCCCTTTACAGCTGCCTGCTATGGCCTATATTTCATGCTAAAACTATTACAGTTCATCAAGTGGTCAACCTGAAGCTGTACAGCTTGAGATGTAGTTGGGTGCGGTGTTTGTTTCATCATTTACTCGGTCCGTAGATCAATGGCTGTTGGGTTTTGAATCTCAATTTAAATGCGCGACAAAACAAAATTGAATCTAGCTTTGAGGTGTTGCTCACTTGCGGTGAAAAGTTTTGTAATTGTGAAAGTTTTGTTTCTACTTTTTTTTATATGCCAGATGGCATAAGATTGACGCATGGTAAGCCGAACAGGGCTCATGTTAAATTTTCTCCTGTCTTTATAACTGCTCCTGTTTCTCCACCCTTGCTAATGCAGGGCATTAATGGCAGCATGCCTAGCTTTCTTTGACATAGATGTCTGGGAATGTTTCCTACCACTTACCAGAAGTGCCATCCTCATATCTACCTAGTTTGATAAGTATAACCACAAGATTGGCTTTTCAGAACAGAGTGCTCTTTAGAGAAGAAGTGATGGAACCTTTGCTTCCTCAACATCTGCCTATTAGTGGCAGTGGCATAGGTTTTTACATTGAACATTCATTTGGACCCATCTGTAACTACGTGTTATGACTCATTAGAAACTGTAGGAGGTAACGAATGTTATGTTTTAGCCAACATTTAACACCAAAACTGCATGCTATTGCGCCATTTTCTCTATCATTTGCTTTACTCTATTGCTGGTATATGTTAGTGCTCTCTGTGTTAGTCACATTATTTTTGGTATTTATAAGATGATCATTCATTCTGATGTTTTTTTTCTGTTCTGTGATGCAATGCAGAAACGTTGCACTGTTAACTTTTATAAGCATCATTAATAGTTCAACATTACTTGCATGAGTTTTCCATTTTGTATTTTTACATTAACAATGCAACTCATGTTCTATTTATTAAAAAGTTTGTGTTTTTAAGCATTTTTAAAGGAAGTAACAATTTAAACAATATAGTTTATTTGTGAACTAATGTTCAGCTGTTCTTTTTATGGTCAACTTATTTTCATATCATCAGTCATCAAGCTCGATAAACACTGGTCACAAACACTAGGCCTAACTTTAATTTCATTAAACTGATTGCTCACTTGAAAAAAACACAGTCATCATGTTTTCAGGCCATTTCGAGTTTGGTTGTACGTGACAAAGCAGTGATATGTGGGTAAGTTGTTTACTTACTTTTTAATAGTCTTCCCATTTTTTTTTTTTAGCTATTTTCATACCAATTTGCGAACGCGCACCAAAACGAGTCAGGATCCCCCATTCATTCTCAATTACCCCCCTCCAAACCCAGCACACCCTTTAGGGGGTCTGTTAAAAGTCAATGGGCTCAGGTCAGAGTCGCGGCGTCCCGCTGTAACTTTACCTGCTGGTGTCGCTGTTGGACACTGTTACTTTAGAAAAACGAGGGATTTATACACTTTTTAATGTCAGATTTTGTAATATTTGCGTTGTTTTATTTTTGTAATATGGATTGTTTTCTCATCCGATTTTTTTTTTTTTTTTTTTTTTTTTAGGCACTGCCTTCCTATATATATATATATATATGATTTCTTGCTATTGCATTAAATAATATGATCTTGTACAGCATTTTATATAAGTTTTACCCAGATATAATATATTAATTATAGAATTATATATAAAGTTTTAGTTTATTTTTTTTTATCCCATTTATATCTTACCCATTCCTGTTTTAAGCAGAAATGTTTAAAGAAATTGTTAGGTTTATGCTTAAAGGACAAGTTCGGTATTTTACACTAAAAGCCCTGTTTTAAGATTGTTTCTGATGAAATAGAACGTTAAAGATTGAAATTTGGACACATGCTGCTGGCCCGAGAATTTTCGGTTTCTGTGGTTGCACCCCCCCACCTCCACAATGGTTTACAAAGTTTACTTTAGTTTACAAAGACGTGAAACTCACCGAGTGGACAGGGGTGTTCACTTATTTGCCCACACAAAAATCCCTGCAAAAGATGCTTTCCAACAGGTGTTTTACCATTCGTTGTAAAACTGTGGACCTATTTTTCCAAACGCCTCACACCCGTACATTCTTCCGTTGAGAGCTTGAATAATAGACACTCCAGCCCAGTTGGTGGCGATAATGCACCTTTGCCAATTGCAAGCAAACCACTGGCATTTTATTGAATACACAGAAGCAGAAGAATACAAACAACCCCATTTCCGTTTCCGGCGGCGGAGTAATACCGTACCTCACAGCACATCCAATACAAGTCAATGGAGTTGGACAAAAACTATGATAAAACCTGTTGGAAAGCATCTTTTGCAGCGATTTTTGTGTGAGCTTATCAGTGAACACCCCAGACCACTCGGTTTCACATCTTTGTAAACTAAAGTTTAATGCGTTTTATGAAGGATTGTTCCAGTGCACCTATGCAACCATTGTGGAGGTGGGGGGGTGCAACCACAGAAACCGAAAATTCTCGGGACAGCTGCATGTGTCCAAATGTCAATCTTAACCGTTCTATTTCATCAGAAACGATCCTAAAACAGGGCTTTAAGTGTAAAATACCGAACTTGTCCTTTAAATACTTGGGTTATTAAATGGTGTAAGGAAAAAAAAGCTTCTTTTTTTTTTTTTGCAATATTATAAAAAATCTTTTCAATGGCTGTAAAAACGTGCCCCTCAACACCCAGTGCAGATCCGTGTGTATGATTTGAACACTTTGACAGGTTTATTTATGGCTTTTGTTAGTGTCTACAGATGAGGTCATGTTCCAAATTACTATTGAGTGCATTGGTCCTAATGAACTTTGCGTGCTCTCATTTCTGGGCCATGCACATTTTGACACAGGGTCACAGATGAAGCAAGGATCAAGCGCCAAAGCACAATTGGGGCAAGAGAGGGATTGAGAGGTCTTTTGTTGGAGTATGTGAGCAGGTGAAAATGTCAGCCGTGGCTAATGGGAGAAACGTCCGTGCCTGGATGACAGCTTCAAATAGGCATGACCCTCTCGGTGAACTTTCATTTTATTAATAGCTGGTCAGGCCTGTGCGTGGCCTCAGTGGCAGGCCTGTTCTGACACGCTACGTCGCACCCCCGAGAGCATGTGTTTGCAAACTGTTTGACTGAAAGCACTCAGAACCAAGGGCATTCATTTACAGTGTTTACACTTAGACAGACTTGATTAAACTTCTGGGCAAGTTGCTGTGCCAGGCTTGAAGTTGTTCAAATGCTGGTTTGCACCATTGTTTTTCAACTGGAATCTGAATTCACAAACATAATGAGTGACCCGAGATGACCTCTTTTATAAGGAATAATTAGTTGCTTGGTTCAGGTCAAGCTAATTTCAAACTACTTGCTTTTTTAACAGTTGTATTTCGCAGAATCAGTCCTGAAGCCATCTTTTCACTGCTTGTGAGCAGAAATGTTTCTCAGTGGAGAATCGGGATTTTTAAGTTCCATCCATCCATCCATCCATCCATCCATCCATCCATCCATCCATCCATCCATCCATCCATCCATCCATCCATCCATCCATCCATCCATCCATCCATCCATCCATCCATCCATCCATCCATCCATCCATCCATCCATCCATCCATCCATCCATCCATCCATCCGAAACTTTGTGCCATACAGTAAATTGTATATACAAATAGTGAGCTTAAGCATAAAGTATCTATACACAAATACTATGTAAAATAATCAATGTTTTATCAGAATAATCTATTTTTCATCAACACTTTTCAGTATAGAATGCTTTATGAATTATAATGATTTAGAAAATATATATATAAATAACTAAAAATTTAAATACTTACAAATCATATTACATATATAAAATGAATTAATTAAAATCCATCTAAAACCAAAACATCCCAATTCTCCACAGAGAAACATTTCTAGTCGTGATAGGTGATAAGATGGCTTCAGGACTGATTCTGAGGAACAGTTTGCAGTAGACAAAAAGGCGGTTTTGGAACAAAGCCTAAGTTTGTGTTCTCTATTTAGTTGTAATGTCACACATCCTGCTTCTTGAAAACACTGTTGAAGGATTAAATATCTGTCCTGTTCTTGCTTTATTTTATTGACTGTCCTCTTTCCGTTTCCAATTAGCATCTGAGCCTAACCTGAAGCTACGATCCAGGCTGAAGCAGAAAGTTACGGAGCGCAGGAGTAGTCCGTTGCTTCGGCGGAAGGATGGCCAGGTCACCACTGCAAAGAAACGCTCTCTGGACATGGCAGGTGAGAGCATCCATCTTGAACATAGTTCATGTTTTATTCATAGTGAAAGTAGAGACATGTCAAAAAATGATTGTCTAGAAGAGTGGGTAACTTGTGTCTCCTGCATGCTCACCACAGATCAATGATTCCAACATCCGTGCAGATTTGACTGACACCAAATTAACCGCGTTTTCCCCACCCATTTTCTCTCAGAATCGGCATGTAGCAGTGCTCCTGGTTCTGGTCCAAGTTCACCCAACAACAGTTCAAACAACATTACCAATGAGAACGGCATCGCTGGATCCATCTCCAACAGTCCAATGGAGGTACAGAGCACGGCATACTTCACCAGCTTTAGCATGACTCTGACTTTTTGGGTGATGAAGCTATGGTTAAGACACAATTGGTTAAGATCACGATAGCATGTAGACATTTGCAGTGAGTAAAGTTTTTATCATGGTAAACTTTCCCAAACTGGGGTTCGTAGCCAGGGTGTTCGTAAGTTGATAAAAAGCTAATAAATCATTTTAAAATAAATACAATCATAAAATGAATCATTTATTTATATTTTCTTATTATTTATGATATAGATTTATATTCATATGATAATAATAATGATTATATATATACGTATATATATATATATATTAAATATAATATATAATCACATTCATTCATTCATATATACACTCACCGGCCACTTTATTAGGTACCCCATGCTAGTAACGGGTTGGACCCCCTTTTGCCTTCAGAACTGCCTCAATTCTTCGTGGCATAGATTCAACAAGGTGCTGGAAGCATTCCTCAGGGAGTTTGGTCCATATTGACATGATGGCAACACACAGTTGCCGCAGATTTGTCGGCTGCACATCCATGATGCGAATCTCCCGTTCCACCACATCCCAAAGATGCTCTATTGGGTTGAGATCTGGTGACTGTGGAGGCCATTTTAGTACAGTGAACTCATTGTCATGTTCAAGAAACCAATTTGAAATGATTAGAGCTTTGTGACATGGTGGAAGTAGCCATCAGAGGATGGGTACATGGTGGCCATAAAGGGATGGACATGGTCAGAAACAATGCTCAGGTAGGCCGTGGCATTTAAACGATGCCCAATTGGCACTAAGGGGCCTAAAGTGTGCCAGGAAAACATCCCCCACACCATTACACCACCACCACCAGCCTGCACAGTGGTAACAAGGCATGATGGTTCCATGTTCTCATTCTGTTTACGCCAAATTCTGACTCTAACATCTGAATGTCTCAACAGAAATCGAGACTCATCAGACCAGGCAACATTTTTCCAGTCTTCAACTGTTCAATTTTGGTGAGCTCTTGCAAATTGTAGCCTCTTTTTCCTATTTGTAGTGGAGATGAGTGGTACCCGGTGGAGTCTTCTGCTGTTGTAGCCCATCCGCCTCAAGGTTGTGCGTGTTGTGGCTTCACAAATGCTTTGCTGCATACCTCGGTTGTAACGAGTGGTTATTTCAGTCACTGTTGCCCTTCTATCAGCTCGAACCAGTCTGGCCATTCTCCTCTGACCTCTGGCATCAACAAGGCATTTCCGCCCACAGAACTGCCGCTCACTGGATGTTTTTTCTTTTTCGGACCATTCTCTGTAAACCCTAGAGATGGTTGTGCGTGAAAATCCCAGTAGATTAGCAGTTTCTGAAATACTCAGACCAGCCCTTCTGGCACCAACAATCATGCCACGTTCAAAGTCACTCAAATCACCTTTCTTCCCCATACTGATGCTCGGTTTGAACTGCAGGAGATTGTCTTGACCATGTCTACATGCCTAAATGCACTGAGTTGCCGCCATGTGATTGGCTGCTTAGAAATTAAGTGTTAACGAGCAGTTGGACAGGTGTACCTAATAAAGTGGCCGGTGAGTGTATATATATTAGGGCTGTCAGTTAAACGCGTTATTAACTGCGTTAATGCAAACCCATTTTAACAGCGTTCATTTTTTTATCGTACGATTAACGGTCTTTTTGGCCTAGCAACTTTGTAGTTTTTTCACATGCTTTTGCAACAGGACGTGGCATGCGTCACTGCGCGATGAAACCCATTCATTTCAATGGCTTGCTAGACCGGATCTAGCTAGACCGTAAACAAAACAACAGGCACGCCACATACACTTGTTTGGGCTTGCGAGCCGGCCAAATAGTTGGTTAACGTTACGTTTTTAGTGGATGACGAGCGCGAGACGCAGAAATGGATGCCAGTAAGATTCTGAATGGAAAGTTTACTTTTCAAAAGTTGCCAAATGGTTCCATTGACAAGACCAAAGTGATCTGTGTGTTTTGTCGTCGTGAACTGAGCTATCATCGTCGCAGCACGTCCAGTCTGAAATACCACTTGATGACGGGCAAGCACACACACACACACACACACAGCTGATGCGAATTCTCCGCCCCCTCGTCAATCGTCAGTATTTCTTTCACCCTTTTATTGATGGACAGTTACATTGTGTGAGAGATTTTGCTCCAAGTGAGAATGTTAGTGTGAAATTGAACACAGTATATGCCAATGTTGTTTTCAATAAAAAACATTTGCACAAAGCAAGCCGATCCACTTTTTCATGTTGATAAGAGCATTAAAATGAGAAAAAATAATGGGACAAAAAGAAATCAAGAGACATTTAGAATAGATAAAAATGTGTGATTAATTGCGATTAACCGCGAGTTAACTATGACATTAATGCGATTAATCGCGATTAAATATTTTTATCGTTTGACAGCACTAATATATATACAGTCGTGCCCAGAATTAATCATACCCCTGGTAAATATGATCAAAAATGGCTGTAAAAAATAAATCTGCATCGTTTATCCTTTTGATCTTTCATTAAAAAAATTGGCAAAAATCTAACCTTTCATTGAAGTAAAAGAGTTGAAAATGGGGGGGGAAATCACATTATAAAATAAATGTTTTTCTCCAAAACACGTTGGCCACAATTATTCATACCCCTATAATTTTTTATGAAAAAAATATCTCTGAAGTATATTCCCATTAATATTTACCTTTTTTAGCACACCAGGGTGACGAGGAACATGAAATTGTCCAGCTATGACTTCTTGTTTCACAGGAGTTTAAAAATGAGGAAATACAAAGGCCAAATTCCCTTAATCATCCATCACAATGAATAAAACCAAAGAATATAGTTCTGATGTGCATCAAAAGATTGTTGAGCATCACAAAATAGAAAGTGACGAAAGGTTAGGATTTTGCCAATTTTTTTAATGAAAGATCAAAAGGATAAACAATGCAGATTTATTTTTTACAGCCATTTTTGATCATATTTACCAGGGGCATGATTAATTCTGGGCACGACTGTGTATATATATATATATATATATATATATATACTTTATAAATATATTGATGATAAAAAAATAACTACCGTAGAAATTATATTAGCATTATTATACAAATGAATGTCCCATGGTATCTTTGCCACTGTTTTATAAAAGCCCTTTGGATTTTTTTTTTCTTTCACACTTTCCTTCATTTTTGCCTAAAGCCTCTTAATAAGTATTACATATCTGCAACACATGGCATCTCTCTTACAGGCTTATTGGTGTATTCTTAAATGGACCTGTAAATCTCTTTACTTTTTAGTTTTAGCTCAGTTTTATTGGTGGTCACACTTGTCATGTTGCTTTGGGAAGTGTCCTGCAATTTTCCTGGCTGTTTCCATGCATGTTTTTCAGACGTCGACAGTCTCCTTCTGTAGACGCGTCCCGTAGGGGTCCGGAGAGCGACCAGACAGAGCTGTTTGTTTTTATCGGTGGGGTTTATTTATCTGTGCATATGTTTGTGTGTGTGTGTGTGTCGTTCCAGCCATCTTTGGCACACAGACTCGCCGGCAGAGAGGGTCCTGTTAGCCAGCTGTCTCTGTACACATCGCCCTCCCTTCCCAACATCACCCTGGGCCTGCCAGCCACCGGCCCTTCCAGCGTGAGTCCATCTTTCTTTTTCTCCATCGGGGGGCCGGCCCTCTTGCGTGCGCTCATAGAGACTCCACTGTCTGGACCACATGTGGCTTTTCAGCACCAGTGGCATTTTAAAAAGAGCCTTTTGAGAGACAATGGCTGACCACAGCTTACTGACGCAAGCAATATCCTCACACAAGAATTATTTACGAGGGAATGTCCTCTCTTCTTTGCCCTGGATTCTTTTTGGCTTATGATCTCTCTCTCTCTCTCTCTTTCTATTCACATAGATGGCATCTGGCCAGCAGGATGGTGACAGAATGGCAGTGCCAGGAATACCCATAACCACTCCGTTCATGCCAGGAGCCCACCTGCCGTCTTACCTGACTGCCTCCTCCTTAGAGCGGGAGAGCGGCTCGGCACACAACACACTCCTCCAGCATATGGTGCTTCTGGAGCAGTCAGCCGCTCAGAACTCCCTCGCAGGTCAGTCTCAGTCATAATAACCAATATTAATGTTACCAGGACACATTTTACCCGCAGAGATGGGGTGAGTGCTGACTGTTGTCTCTGGTAAAAGAAAAAAATATGCATTATTTTTCAAAACATCAGCTGACAAATGAAATGAGAAGAGAATATCTAGAACAAATGACCGTAGAATATATTGCCTTACTTTATTATTATATTATATTATATTATATTATTATTCAAATTCTATCTATCTATCTATCTATCTTAGAAATACAATATATCCACTATTATGTTTCAATGTTTTATTTTATTTCATTATTCACAGTTTATTATATTATATTACATTATATTAAAAATACAATATAAGAATGCACTTTTATGTTTCAAAGTTTAATTTTAATTAAGGTATCTGTAAACGAAGCATGTAAAGTTTAATAAAAAAAAGAAGTACTTTCAATTTGTTTATTTATTTATATTAAAAAATACAATTTGACAATGTGCTATTATATTATAAAAAAGTGTTATTTTTCTTGTCATTATTCACCTTTTCTTAAATATCTGTAAACTAGACCTGAGACGTGCAATATTCAAAAATTCTAAAACATAAAAATGCATGTTGCAATTTTTTTTTACTAGCTATTATTTACATTTTATTAAAAATATCAGTAAACCAGCCATATAAAGTTTAATATTCAAAATGTTCATTTTGATTTATTTATTTGTTTGTTTTTAGTTATTATGTTTTAATCATTCACAAAAGAAGAGGGGGAGGGGAGTTTATAAAAAGATTATGTATTGAACAGATTATGGCATTATTCTACATTTTAGCTGATGTTTTTGGTTACAGGGAAATATGAAATGTTTCTGATGTAGCTCCTCAGTAAAGAAAATTTCTTATTTTCTTTGAAAGGAAGTAAGTTTGGTCCCACTTTAAATTTTTCAGCAGGTTCACATTGGCACAGCTTACCCTAAAAGCATCTGACACACTTTACACACCACTGCTTCCATTTTGGGAAAAATGTTAGACTTAATAATTAATCTTTGCGAGTGTTGTATTACTCAAATGTATTATTCGCATGGTTCGTTGATTCTCGTAATACACAAATATTCCTCACATTTGTGACATCATTTCCCATTATTTGCACATTATATCTCAAAATTGCAGCAAGGGGGTGGCCTCCAAACAGCCAGGTGCCCCGGGGCCTCGCAGGATCATAATGCGTCGCGCTCCGTTCTCCCTGCGGTTGTCATGCATTTACTGGTTGTAATTAGTCCAGCATAGGTTATGCAGCGTCCTTTATAAATTGGATTCAATTTCCTTCGATACGCACTAAAGAAGGCTCATTTTAATCAAATTAGTCATAGGCGGTGTTAATTAGCCTCCTGATGTGCCAGGAACGGCTTCACGAGAGACGGGAGAGGGAGGCTGGCAATAAGAAGAGGTCAATACTTATCCTGAGGATGAGAGAGAGAGACGCCTCACTGGCGCAGTCAATTCGGACTAATGATTTGTGCCATCAAAGACCATCACGTTAAAGAGATAACCTTTTCTCCGCCCACTGTCGTCAGGGAGATGACCAAATCCAGTGCACAGGAAGTGTACAAACAGGAAGTGTCAAGCCCCTGGGAGGGACGGGGAGTGTGTCTGAAGCAGAGTGGTGCAATAATGGCAATAAAACAATTAATGAAAAAAAAAAAGTTTTCTGACGGAATAGCTTTTGTTCCATCATTCAGTGTGTGTATATATTTACATTTAATCATTTGGCAGACGCTTTTATCCAACGCGACTTTTAAGTGGTGAGAGCAACAGAAGCAATTAAACTAAAAATAGACAACAATATGCAAGGGTTGTGACCCTTCCCAGTTTAGTCTAATGCACATATTTATTTAATATATATATAGATATGGAATAGAAGAGAAAAGAAAGTCTTAGTATTAATGGATCGTGTGTGTGTGTGTTCACACACTGTTTATTGAATTACACATTTTATTATATTTATTTATATATATTTTAGATAATTTAATAAAAGGACTATTATACAACTATGAAATATTATTATATATATATACATATAAATATACATAAATACATACATACACACATGCAGTTTTTATAATTTACTATATAAATATTACATTTTATTTTATATTATTATATAAAATTATTGTATTTCATTATGTACATTATGTCATGTTATCTATATTTTATATTGAATAATCTCATATATATATATATTATGTAATGATCTGAAAATATTATGTTTTATAATATATAGTAATTGATAATCTATATTTATATATATATATACATACACACTACCGATTTACATACGTTTTATTACTTTTATTGAAATAAATATATTTTACTGGGGGGGGTTGTTGTTTTTGTTGCACATATTTAGGACGGTATGTTAAGTTTGAAACCGTTACACTTTAAAATCTCACCTCAAGGTATGTGTTCTGTTCCATTCAGTTGCATTTTTGAATGACTTTTAAGAAGGACCTTGGCAGTTTTGTGTGCACTAGATGCTTCACAAGCGACCCGTGGGCATGCTGATACGGAGATGCGCTTAAACCTTCAGTCGTGTGTGTATTCAGGAAGCTTCACCCCCCCGAGAGCAAAAGCGGGCGAAGGTGTTAATTAGTTCAGGGCTAAGTGCTAACTAGAATCTGCTGTGTAACCCAAAGCCCATGTGTTGTGTCCCCAGGCCTGGGTGGCGTGCCCCTGCAGTCCCATCCCATCCATAAGCTCCGGCAGCATCGGCCCCTCGGACGCACGCAGTCGGCCCCCCTGCCCCAGAACGCCCAGGCGCTGCAGCAGCTGGTGGTTCAACAGCAACACCAGCAGTTCCTGGAAAAACACAAGCAACAGTTCCAGCAGCAGCAGCTTCACATCAGCAAGGTACAGCATTCTGTCTGTCTTTAGCTCCCTTAATCACCATGGCAACCAGCAGGATGTGCCGTCCTTATATGGTCAGACCGGATGCTCTCTGCTAGTGTGTTTGAGTGTATGTGGGACTGCAGTCATGAGCGGACCCAGACTGAATCTATGCTCGGAATCGCAATTTCGGTGCTGAATTTTGGCCGAAATGCGGAATTCTGTTAAATGAATTACGTTAAACAGGGTTTAAGTAACTATTTTGTCTGCTGGTCCCACTTTAAAAGATTTATATTTTTGAAGTTTTAGAAAAAATACTAATAATAATCTTTCGCATTTAAAAAAAAAATAAAATTATATATATATATATATATATATATATATATGCACGACCACTACCACTACTTCTTTTTGAAAGAAGTCCCTTCTGCTCACCAAGGCTGCATTTATTTGATCTAAAATAAAGTAAAAACAGTAATATTTTTTTAATGAGTTTAAAATAATTTTCTGTTTGAATATATTTTAAAATGTAATTTATTCCTGTGATGCAAAGCTGAATTTTCAGCATCATTACTCCAGTCTTCAGTGTCACATGATCCTTTATAAATCATTATAATATGCTGATTTGATACTCAAGAAACATTTCTTATTATCAGTGTTGAAAACAGTTGTTTTGCTTAATATTTTTGTGGAAACCCGTGATAGGATATTTTCAGGATTCTTTGTTAAATAGTAGATTTGAAAGAACAGCATTTATTATTTATATAACATTACAAAACTCACTTTTGATCAATTTAATGTGTCCTTGCTGAATAAAAGTATAAATAAAAAAAATAAAAAAATAAAAACTGAGCGCAGACTTTTGAACTGAAGTGTATTTTTATTTATTTTTTTGCTGGAAAATTGTGGATAAATATGGCTTGTCTACCTACGTGTTTAAGCTACTTATATAATTGTATATAAGAAAGTATTTTGCAAATAAATGTAAAAAAAAAAAAAACATTTCAGTAACTATAAATCAATATTGTTTGTATTGATTTTTTTATTATTAAAATATGAATAAAAATGCTTGATGGGATGAGCAGTTCATTCTTTCCTAAACTAAATGTCTGCATTTTCATATACTTTATTCTTATAATTTTTTGATTCGGAACAAAGTGTGTAATCTTGTAATGAATGAAGTCTTGTTGATTTGCTTCATGAACTTTTCATTGAAGGATTTTAAATCCCTATGGGAAAAGAATGAATGAGGAAAACTACTTGCTGTGCTCTATAACCTCCCCATTTTATTCCTCCTCATGTTTGCTCATGGAGTGTGTGGTGAAGTCTGTAGAGATTACTAGTGTTGGCTCATTATCCTACAGGGTTTTTGGTTTGTCCCCCCCCCCACCACCGCTGGAAATGTGCATTATAGATTAGTTATGGAGTTAATCCATGCCTGCACACAAACATGTCGGAATGAGATCACTGGGTGTGGATCACCTCAGCGCTACACTCGGGGCTTCCGGGAATACGGCCTCTTTGCTCAGCAGATGTCAGAGGATTTAATGCTTCCCAAGCAATGCTTACGCTATTTAGATTTCAGTCCATTCCCATATTTTAGAAGTTAGAAGTTTGCTGTGGAGATGTGAGAAGGCACATGTTGTGAATCTGTGCATGTGGTTTTCCGCATATCAAAGTAGGTCCAGTGCATGACATCTGTGGCCTTAATTTGTGCATTTTATAAAATGCATTTAGGAAAAAATATGCGAAAAATATTTAAACATGGTAAAATGTTAAACGTAATACGTAGCGCCAGACACTAGTCCAAAACAGGTGAATGAATAGAATCAGATTCAAAAATAGCTAAAAGAATAAATTAAAATGACAAGAAGTTCGAAGCACGAAAACGTTTTGCGCACTTTTGCACTTTATTTGTGGCCTCTGGACAATAAATTCATGTGGGATTTTTGGCCTATATCTCGTGTGCGGAACTTCTTTTGTCATTTTTTTTAGCTATTTTTGAATTGATTCTATTCATTCACCTGTTGTTCACCTTTGACCCAGTTCTCATGTGTGAAACTTAATAGTCCAGACGTTTCCAACTCTGACGCCATATAATAGTGTCCCCTACACTGTAGTTCTAAATCTCATTTGTGCAATTTAAATGTACGTGTAATCAAATTTAGGGTGTCGCAATGAGACATGAAAGCAAAAATGTTTGGCATCATCAAACCTTTCATTACTCTTTTAGATTCGCCACTTTTAAATGTAGTCAAACGTGAAAGAGATTTAAGAGCTGCCGCGGTGAAGAATGTCAGGGAATTAGAGCTGCACAATTCTGGATACATTGAGAATCACATTTTTTTTGTTTCATATAGAAATGGAATTATTCAATGACTCACTTCACTTGTTTCATTACTGGACGAATGAGCGTTTTTGAACGAATCACTTGAATGAATGATTCAATGACAGGTTTATTTTTTAACAGTCATTGTTGCCATCTAGAGGCGTAATGATATAATTGATACAATATTTATGTTTGAAGCGTCGAAAGGTATTTTCAAAAGGTGATTTGCTCTATTTTGATCGCTGCCATGCTTGGTGTTTGACAGCTATGCAGTGAATAATGTCTTGATTTCTGTGCTTTCCTCATTCATCCTATCGTTTGGTTTCAGAAAACTAGTTCAATATAGTACTCAAGATGGTGCTTTGTCACTTTTTGAGCTTGACAGCCTTTGCTTACCATTGTTTACCAACGGATGGATCAATAATGACAGAATACAAATAACTGAATTAATATTCATGACCCAAGCCATACCTGCCAACGTTTGTGTGCTGAGCTGCTAACACTGATGTTCTAGGCCTAATTACTCAACTTTTATGACAAAAAGGCCTGGGAGATGTTTTTGGAAAGTTTTTAAGCTTTCAAATGGTATCTAGTATGAATATACTCTGTGGCATCTAGACGTTCAAAAATCATGTCAACCTTGTGAGGAGATTTATGATGTTTGTCCCCAAATTTTGGATTATTCCCATCATTTTGGCTTTGGCTGATTCCTTTTACAAAGAAATGACATGAACATGTTCACTTAGCTGAAGGGAGAGATGTAGTTGTGGCGAGGAAGGGAGAGGAAAACAAAGAGGAGAATATGAAAAAAGAAAAGCTTGTTTGGAATGAAGCACACAGATGAGGCAATTGCAGAGCGCTCTGACGTCAATTATGTTCCCTTGGCACAGTGCCAGGGGCCCGTGTTTTTACCCGACTCCAGTGTGTGTGTGTGTGTGCGTGCGTGTGTGTGTGTGTGTGTGTGAGGGCGGGGCTAGAGCCGTCATTGCCACAGTGATAGGGTTAGAGACAGCTGTCACAGCATGAACTTGAGCCAAGAGGACAGTTTCTTTTGTTCCTGTTGTTCCAGGAATGTTATTTAAAGCAACTGTAGCTTTGACTCTGTGTTTATAGAAGATCTTTGTGTGTGTTGCAGATGTGTTCTGAAGTCATTCTCTTATGAATTCCTTTTCTGTTGTTCAAATTTCACAACCTTTTTTACTCCCATTAAGGAATGTATTTCTAAATGAAATAGGCTATTTGATGTTTAAAAAGGTGTATTAATAAATGAAATAGGGTCAATTTTATGCTGACTTTAAGGGCTTATGCTTTTGATCAAATATGTTAGCTACACTACAACATAAAACCAAACAAAAAAATCCGATCATGTACTTTTTTTTTTTTTTTTATTAATTTTTATAATTATATCATTTAATAATTTATTTTACCCTTAGGAAAAATACACTAAAATTTCATGAGTTTGGGCTCGGTACAATGTTTTAAAATGTTTTAATAGAAGTCTCTTCTGCTCACCAAGACTGAATTTATTTGATCAAAACTACAGTAAAAACAGCAATATTGTGAAATATTATTACAATTTAAAGTTTTCTGTTTGAATAGATTTAAAAATGTAATTTATTCATGTGATGCAAAGCTGAATTATCTGCATCACTGCTCCAGTCTTCAGTGTCACATGATCCTTCAGAAATCATTTTAATATGATGATTTGATTCTCAAGAAACATTTCTTATTATTATTATCAATGTTAAAAACAGTTGTGCTGCTTAATATTTTTGTGGAAACCATGATACATTTTTTCCCATGATTATTTGTAACAAAATGTCTTAACGGTTGCAGTTTAATACATCCTTGCTGAATAAAAGTTTTTTGTTTTTGTTTTTCAAAAAAGGAAAAAAGATCATACTGACAAACTTTTGAACGGTAGTGCATAATTAAGTAGCATTGCTAATTTTAGTTAGTTATTCCCTGACACTGTTGAATATACATTCTATTGTACTCTCTAATAAAATGATTCATCTGTATGTGTAGAAGTCTGATTGATCAGATGATGTGTTTCTCCACCTCTCTCAGATGATGGCTAAGCCGAACGAGCCGGGCCGACAGCACGAGAGCCACCCGGAGGAGACGGAGGAGGAGCTGAGGGAGCACCAGGGGCTGGGAGACTCCTCCGAGGGTCTTCCTCACGGGGTCATCGTCAAACAGGAACCTCTTGATGAACAGGACGAAGAGTTCACGCAGAGAGAGAGACAAGTTGAGGAAGAGCTGCTCTTCAGACAGGTGAGGGTCAGGCTGACCACCTGATTATTGCGGGACACATGGGAGAGAGACAAATTCAATACTTTTAGTCTATGTAAATATTGATTTACATTAGTAGGAAAGCCTATTTTCTGGGTGATAGCGTGCTTTAAATCACCAGTAAGCTTTGTTAATTGTAACCATTGGCTCTGTGACTGGCACTCAGCTTGCCCAGGTTCGAGTGATATAATCTCATTTACCCCACGGGACATATTCAGTTTACTAAATAAAATTTACTTGAGGGCTGAGTTGAAAATATTGATTTTCATCATTTTGATAAAACAATATCTTAAGTATTATGTTCTTGGTCTATGGTTTTTTCAGTTGATGCGTGAACAACTTCTCTAAACATTAGTTGTAGCGTTCCTCCCATCCAATAAATCGCAGCAAGTTCTGTGCTTTGTTACTTTTTGTTACTCTTTGATATGAAAGATATGAAGTCTTAGCTTTCCAATTCTGTCAATTTTAATTATGAAATTCGAACAATAAATACCATTTTGCTGCTCTTTAATGCTGAAAGTTCAAAAATGAAACTATTTATTTATTTTATGAAACTATTTTACTAGATTTTAGTTCAATAACGTTTTTATATAATATTTTGTATTTTTAGGGGATTTAATGGTGTTAAATGATATGTATGCAGTAGTTATAATCCATTTATTCACTTTGTGAGCATGGAGTTATACAATTTTACAATTAATATGAAAAATGCATAAAATTACATAAAGTTTTATATGAAATATATATTTTCCAAAACACGTTTTACTCTAAAACTGGGAGAAAATCATATATCTAAACAAGCTGTGCTCCAAATTTGAAGTTGATAACTCAAAAAATGAGCTTTCAGTCAAATTTAGTTTGGGCGCAGGACCGCACGTTCACTCGATGAAATTCGTCTCCCGTTTGTTTCCAATGCTGTCATTTTTGACCGCAAACAATGTGTTACTATTTTTTTTTTTCAGGACCATTTAACCTTTTCGGAATCATGTCCATGATTTTTTTGTGTGTGTGTGTGTGTGTTCACACAGCTATTGCCAAAACCTTTACAAAGTTTCATACCATTCCTATGAAAAAAAAAAAAAAGCAGATACAATTGTTTGGTCAAAAATGAGCCAACAGCCCAGAGGGTTAATGTGTCGTGACAGAACGCTGTAGCCACAAAATGTATCATGTCTCATGTAGTCGCTCAATCTGTCTTTTAACCGCAGAAAGAAGTCAATAAAACGGTTTGTGAACAATGTCACAGAACTCGACGTTTACCTCAGAAAAGCTTTTCAATGTCCATAGCTCGATAGTCAGCTAGAAAAAAATATTCTAAAGAGTGGCATTTTGCTAAATATATGCACTATTACATATTTAAAACTAGATAATACAGACATAATCGATATGCAGGATACAGCGTACGTCTTGCAGGACGCAGGACAAAGCTCTCAATTTCGTGACTTTCCCGCAAACTGGGGGATATAAAAAAAAATATATATATAAAATATCAAATAAAATGTGAGGCTTTGTCCGTCGCTCTTGAGAATGTAGAAATGCACAATAAATGGTGTTTCTTTGAATGGCACAGAATGAAGCCACAGACACGTTGAGCACCAGAAGGGGGCAGCAACCGGCTCCTATAAGGAAACAAGCACCCTCTCGGTGGGAAAAAAAGTGGTTATTAACCATCAAGAATGATCTGAAGCAACAAGAAACTGGCTGCATTTGAAATCGCATACCTACCTACTATATAGTAGGCAAAAGAAGTATGTCTGAATTCACAGTACTCATAAAAGAGTAGGCAAAAAGTACCCGGAAGATTCTAAAATGTACATGCGATGGACACTTTACTATCCCATGAGGCCACGGGAGAGGATTTATGAATAGAAGTGAAGCGACACAACTGATGCTGGTTGGTCACATGATAATGACAAGATGGTGAATGTAGTATGTCCGGTTTACATTCATACTACACACAGCGATCGTGAATTACTTATTCAAAATACCTTGAGACTCTACTCAAGAGAGTATGTGATTTCGGATGCAGGCAGTGTGTCCTTCTAGCACTTACTCGGCTGAAGATATGCGTCTATTTTACTTAAAGCTGCCAAAAAACAATGGGAGTTTATGTAAAATACAAACAGAGCAATTACTAGCTAAGCAGCTGTGCAAACAATAACGTGCCAGTTTCATTAACGCACAAGCAATAGTTTAATAAAAGTGTTTTTTATTAACATAAAAAGGCTTAATGTGAGTTTATTTGTGCAATCCTTGAAAAACGTGTGTTTTTTTAACGCATTAACTGTTTAATGCAACCAATCACTGCTTTTTAAAATGAACAGGAAGTGTGCACTTGTGCTCGACGAGATCCTTTAGGTCCAGCTCGTTTTCTTCTTAATGGCCAGCAGGGGATTGAAACCCTCTGCGTGTTCCTGCAATCAAACTGAAATATTCATCACATCAGCTAACTAAAGCTGTGTCCGAAATTGAGGATAGCTGCCAATTAACAGGCAGAACTTAGTTAAAGAATTTTTTTTCTAAACTTCCTGAGGTTTCAGACCAGCTTTAAGGAAGCATGACATCACTGTATAATGATCACGGAAAACTCATGTGAGCTTTAGACACGACCAAGCAAATATTTGATGGCTACGATCTCTTAGAGTATAAATTGAAATAATAACTACTGTTCAAAAATGTTTGGGGACAGTAAGATTTTAGCTTTTTGGAAATTAATAATTTTATTCAGCTAAAATGCTTTAAAAATATTTCTAATTCAAGTAAATGCTGTTCTTTTCAACTTTTTATTCATCAGAGAATCATGAAAAAAATGTTATTTGCACAAATATATATATATAGTTAATGAGAGATAGAGATGTTTCTTGAACAGCAAATCAGCATATTAAGATCATGTGACACTGAAGACTGGAGTAATGATGCTGAAAATTCAGCTTTGCATCACAGGAATAAATTACATTTTAAAGTGTATTCAAATCATAAACATTTATTTTAGATAATACATCGCAATATTTCTTTATATTTGATCAATTCAATGCAGCCTTGGTGAGCATAAGAGACTTCTTTCAAAAACATAAAAAAAAATCTTGCAAACCCCCAAATTTTGAATGGTAATGAAAACATTTTTTTTATGCATATTTACAAATAATTTTCATCTTCCAACCAAAATGCAATTTTTATTCTTTAAACGAACTACCTTGAACATATGTAGTTTCCTGCCTTCAGACCTTAGAAACCAGCATTTTTCACATTTTGCACAGCCTAAATTTAGTCTCGAACAGATGGATGCAAAACATTGTGAATATGTAAAGTGTAGTTTGAAACACTCTCACCTTAATTAGCATAATAAATGTGAAGTCTTTCAAAATATGAAGCATTTTCTACTTTTTCAATGCATTGAGTGCCACCTGCTGGTTGTTTGTGTAGCTGCAGGATGCCTAAAGCACTTGATTTTCATCTGTGTGAAGGATGAAACCTCCCAAAGATACCTTCACTTGCAAAATTTCACATTTATTTCAAGAGAAAACGTCTGTTCTTGTCTCTGAGCAGCAAGCTCTCCTGTTGGAGCAACAGAGGATCCATCAGCTGAGGAACTATCAGGCGTCTATGGAGGCGGCCGGACTGTCCGTGACCTTCCCAGGCCATCGGCCCCTGTCCAGGGCACAATCGTCCCCAGCCTCAGCGACCTTTCCCATCGTGGTCCAGGAACCAGCAGCCAAACCACGCTTTACCACCGGTCAGTCACTGGATTAGATATCATTGCCATGGGATTACCAACTAAACAACTAAGGAAAACAACTCGGCATCTGGATATTAAATATATTCATATTAGGTTGTATCCCTCCTTAAAATAAGTATTTGTGCCCCTACAGGTCTGGTGTACGACACCCTGATGCAGAAGCACCAGTGCATGTGTGGAAACAGTAACATCCACCCCGAGCACGCCGGACGCATCCAGAGCATCTGGTCTCGACTGCAGGAGACAGGACTGCGCGGCCAGTGTGAGGTAATTCGTTCGCTCACATCTGTGCATTTATGACTTTATCTATTTGCTTTTTTAGCGGTAACGTCAAATTATGTTTCAGCACTAAACATTTTTATGTCGCCTCCTGCTTGGTAACTTTATCAATGTGAAGGATATTTTTCCGATCTGTAGAGGGCGCTGTTCAGCCATCACTAACACAGCCACACACTCCCTTTGATGAAACTTTATGAATAAACCAAAGAGTTTTACTCAACGGAAAAGGGGGGGGGGGGATGAGATTGATTTGAGTATGTTCAAGGGAAAATTGAGCCGGTAGAGAAAAAGAGGCAGACGACTTTCATACTGTATGAGAGCAGAGGAAGTGCTGGTGAATTACAGCAGGGGTCCAAATGTATGAGACCACTTGTGAAAATATTTCTCAATTTAATACACGATTTAAATGAAAAAAAAAGTCTTAGTATTTGGTTTGTTCCACTTGTTCCTCTAATGACAGCAGCACTTCAGCTGCATGAACACTACAGGTTTGCACAAAGCCCTGATGCGTGATCTGAGAATGAGCCAGAGAGCATCTTATGTTTCAATGGAAGCAGCCACATCTGGCCTTTGTACTGATGATGAGTCACATTTTCCATTTTAATGAGATTAGTAACCTAAAAATTAGTTTAGGGCCGGTAGGATTTTTTCATGTTTTTTTTTTTTTTTCAAGTCTAACCAAGGCTAACAGTAATATTGTGAAAAATTATTACAATTTAAAATACTGTTTTCTTTTTCTTTTTTTAAATGTTATTTATTCCCGTGATCAAAGCTGAATTTTCAGCATCATTACTGCAGTCTTCAGTCACATGATCCTTCACAAATCATTCTAATATGCTGATTTGCTGCTCATACATTTTCTTATTATTATTCATGTTGAAAACAGTTGTGCTGCTTAAAATTTTTATGGAAACCGTGATGCTTTTTTTTTTTCGGAATCCTTTGATGAATATAAAGTAAAAAAAAAATAGCATTTGAAAATGTAAAAGACTTTACTGCCACTTTTATTTAATATAATGCATCCTTGCTGAATAAAAGTATTAATTCCATTCCATTTTTTGAACGATTGTGTATTTCTTTAATTTAATTCTAAATGTTTCACAATCATGCAACTTAGTTAATTTCCAAATGAAAATGACAAAAATCTGATTTTTTTGCAGACTTGTGGGCCCACACGAAACTCCACACAGTTAGTTTACTAAATATAGTATGCTTTGAGCTATAAATAGCATTATTTTACTCCCTTTCCCACATTTTTCCCTCAAAGTTAGCGCAGAAAAGCAGTGTGTGCTTGCTTATCTCTGCCTCCACCTGCTCAGGGCAATTCCTGAGCTCTCTCATCATCTGGAGTCCTGATCGCTGGTGCCTAATGGCTCTCGCTGGATCTAATCTCTCCTGCCACGCTGGCTCCATTGCGTCAGGCCTGTTCGAGGCAGTCGCGTAGCTGCAGTCTCTGTTTTCCTCCAAACAAACAAGTAAACAAGCACCACAATGCTCTGCTCTCTCGCCTACATTCGTGGTGGGGATGTTTATTGTTCTGGGAGATGGAAACAGTGAATTGGGCCTCAATTAAAGGCAGTCATGACTCTAATACCCCCTAATCTACAGCAGGGGGGCCCTTAAAGAGTGTAGGGTTGTTTTAAGCTGCCGCCAGCCTGCACCGGGCCCCTCTTTAACGGCCCATGCTGTTAAATCCGAGAGGTAGTACGTCCTGTTGCAGGTGTCACCTCGGCAGAACCCTCCCCAGAGCGCTTCCACAGGTGGGCAGGTCCGCCTCCCTCTCGGATGGTCTGTGTCTCGGAGGCCAGAGCTATTAAAACAGGGGAAAGCAGCTCCGGCACCTCCGAGGGCCGGTGGCTTTGTTCTACAGGCATGTGGGGCCCAGTTTGGAGTGGGAGGTGGACAAGCGGGCCTGTTTCAGCTCTGCTACGACAGCTAAAGACTTTAGTCGGCGTATAGAGTTTTCCAGGGATGATGTGTTTTTGTAGGCCATCCCGGAGTTAGGATCACTCCTGGTTCCCTCGACAAAAACCCAATAGAATTTTTCCATTGACTTTTCCATTGTATTTTTGCAGAAAATAAGGTCTGTGACTACAAAAAGCTTATGATTCTTACACATTTTGTTCATCATGCTTCACAAGTTTAACACAACTGTGAAGCGTAAATACAATCGTCACATCACTAAGCTTCCGACAACTCTTTCAGGCTTTGTTTAAAAACATTTTCCCTGAAAGTTCAAGTTATAATTGTTTGCATGAGTGCGATTATAAACACAACAAGGTTGTGAAAGCGGTTTTCCTGTTCGGCTGATTATATTATGTTATATCAAAGCCACTGGAAGGCAAGCCCGCAACCGTTAGCCAGAAAAGCATAACGGCTAATGCTAACGCTACGGCTTTGTCGGTACGCAGGGAAGGAGACAAGAGGACTTTTTTGGAGCGGATAACAACAAACAGAATGTGTAGTGCACAATTTCACAGCCTTTCACAACCAAAACCAAAGATAAACAGAATGTGTAGTGCAAAGATATTCCATAGCCTTTCAACATATGAGAGAAACATATGTTACATATACTACTCATACAAATGTTATTTCTAAACAATAACCGATAAGTATTTGTCCTCTGAATAAGTGCACATGATAATAAGTTTTATAAAAATCCATGTTTTTGGACAGAATCGTCTCGTGTAATGTAAACTCGAAGCATTTGCAACCTGTTAAAATGTGTTTTTATTTCATAAAATAATTACAAATGTTAAAATCAGAATTGTGAGGCTCTAAAAATGTAAACGGTAGCGTAAACGGTATAGAATAGTGCTTGCAACACAATGGTCATGGGTTCCGATTCCCAGGAAATGAATTGAAAACATGTGTAGCTTGAATGCAATACAAGTCACTTTGGATAAAAGCATCTGCCAAATGCATAAATGTAAAAAAAATAGTTTGAGTTCAGTTTAGATGGTTTGTATCTTTTGTTTATGACCAACTTTTATCTGGGTAAGATGAATGTACCGTTTGGCAAACCATCTTACCGACCCTAAACTTTTGAAAGTTCAATTTAAGAATAGGAAATAAACAACATTTTTGTATTTCAATGAACAATTTTTAACATTATATAGTAACAAAATTCACCAAAAAAAGTTACATTAAAATCTAAAATAAAATAAAATAGTGTATTTCAGCAGATTCATTTCAGTATGTTTGTTTGCTACGAGTGTAACAGATTGAAACTCACAACCATCATACTCATACTCGGATCTTAACTCTATCGTTCATTTTTTGCAGTGTATTCGAGGCAGGAAAGCCACTCTGGAGGAGCTGCAGACGGTCCACTCTGAAGCCCATGTGCTGCTTTATGGAACCAACCCACTCAGACAAAAACTGGACAGTAAGAGAACACACACACACCTGACTTCACCACAGGCTGAGTTTAGTGAATGAGCACACATTCTCTCTCTGCGACAGTTGGAGCCTCCGATGGCCTTCTCAGTTATGAGCCCGTGAAGCACTGCGCCTGGACTTCTGCAATTATCCACATTATTTACGCTTCTGCAGCCAGATCCGCCTTACAGCATGTTTCCTAAATGCTGCAATTGGTTTCATTTCTTTTTTTGGCCAGTTGTTGTTCCCTCCCCATCCCGTTCGCCCCTGTCAGCTCACTCTCCGCTTTCATCAGTCATGGCCTTGATCTGAGTCTGCCCCTGAGCTGTCCGTCAAGCCCGTCACCTCTCTGCCAATAACAACCACACATGCAGTTTTCCATGACTTCAGCTCCGGCCCCCTCGTGCAGCGATCAAACACATGCTTAAACGACATGCCCGCTTACACACACACACACATGGATATTTCACACTCGTCGGGCACAGACACGACAGCACAGTTTAGACTGCTCAGTTTCCACCTTTACAATCTGATTAACAGACTTCTGATGTTAGTTGCTACAATGTGTTGTTTTAGAAGCACAGTTGATTTGAAAAATAGGGCAATTTTAATCAATAGGTGCTTTGCCTCATTGAGAAATGTTGGATTATTGCATGTGTGTTTGTGCAGTAATAACTAGGGATGGTCAATGTGGTCATTTTGAGTAGTCTCGGTTGGTGGTCCATCTGTGCTGATTTTTTTTTTATTGTTGGTCTATGTGCGTCAAAAGGACGTCTTTAGCTATTGCATTGCATCTCAGTTTTTTAAGTGCCCTAATGGCATTTTCTTGCACAACGTATTTTTAAGAAATATTGCTGCGTCCCAATTCGCATACTATCCGTCCTAAGTACTATTGGAAATTAGATTTAGTGTGTCTCATATCATAGTATGTTGAAATGAGTATTCCAAAGATCTGAAGTGCACACTCTACATCTAATACATTGCCCACAACCCATTGCGCGTTGAACGAGGATTCGATTAGAACTACAAACATGAATAGAAAATGTTTGAAAAACTACAAACATGGCGGATGTGTCCAATGGCTAGGTAGAGAGGTTTAGATAAAGCGGTTTGAGTGATTAAAAATCCGTATCTAACCTGACAAAAAGATGTTTATTCAATTGTATCCACATTATATTTCATCTGCAACAGCATTGTGAATTGTGTAATGATATGTTTGGTCATTAACTTTTAAATGCATAATTTATGCAAATCGCAAACATGTGACTGGCAGGACTGGCAGATCAACGTGCTACTATATTTCTCTCCGAAATGGTGGGAAATTAAATTCAATTGAACGTGGAGGATTTGAACTATGAGAAGATGATTGACAGGGCAGTTTATTCTGTGACAGGATGCCTGTTACAAAGCAACAGAGCCATTATGACGAAGTAGTGTGTCCCAAAGCTCGTCTACTCTTCTGATACACACTCAGAAGGATTTTTCTTTTTCTTCACAAAAAGAACACATACAGTACTTTTAGGGCATAGTATAAGTAGGCGAATTGGGACTTAGCATGTATTGACCTAAAACAAGTTTTTAAAGTTACTGCCACAGTTTTTATTTTTTTATTTATTAAAATTACTTCTTGCAAGTTGGATATTATTGTTATATACTGTATTACTTGCATATCAGTAAGTGAGTCATGTATTAATTCAGTAACCAATCTGATGGATTTACTGAGTTCATGTAGTGAAATATGCGTGAGACTCATTCAAACCGATCGGTTTGTGTGTCTTTTTGACCAATTCATGAAAAGGACCGGCTCACAAGAGTCATTGGTTCATGATGAATCAGATCTTAATGGTTTCACTACTGTATACGTTTTTGTGAATCAAACTACGGTGGTGTTTTTGATCATTTTTAAAAGAATCATCTCATAAGAGTCACTTGTTTGTGAATCAAATGACATTGTTTGCACTATGTGTTCGATTTCATTTAAAAGAGCTGGCTCATAAGAGTCATTGGTTCATGAATCAAATGACACTGATTTCACTCTGTTTTTGATTCACTAAAAAGAACCAGCTCATAAGATCCATTAGTTTGTGAATCGGACGACATCGATGGCACTTTATGTTTTTTAATTCACCTAAAAGAATCAGCGCATAAGAGTCCATTAGTTCATAAATCAAATGGCACTGGTTACACTATGTTTTTAATTCACTACAAAGAGCTCATAAGTATCATACATGAATCAAACTACACTAGTCATGCTCTATGTTTGTGCAGCCAGCAAAAAAAATAACATCATTTTGTCACATTTTTGCCTTATCAAACTGCAAGTTAACAACTATAAAATGAGCTCTTTCACCGTGGTGCTCCAAATTCAGCTGAAAAAATTAATAATTCTGGCCTGAAATAACTCATGTACACACATCTTGATATTCATGTGAAGAAGACGATTACATAGATCAGTGATTTTGTGGAGCTCACACAACTCTCTCTCTCTCTCTCAATAGGCTCAGTGACACCCATGTTCGTGAGACTGCCGTGCGGAGGAATCGGGGTGAGTTTCTCTTTCTTTTCCCGTGTGTAAATAACAGCCCTGTTTGTTCTCCCTCCCCTGAACTCCAGCGGCAACAAAAACTGTTGCTCTCCTTTCTGCAGAGCGGGTAATTGTGTCCAGATGTTTTCTATAAACAAGCTGTGTGTGTGTATTCTCTGATGATGATGAATGAATGGATAGACTTGTTCTTCAGTGCTGAGTGGACAGTGTCAGCCACACTCTTTCACAGCTCTGGAACAGGAAGTACTCATCCTCACTTCTCTCATTCCTGGATTAGGTCAATGATTCAGATGGACCATGAATGGTTTCTTGTAATGAATGGAGAGATGGTTCAGTCATTCATGTGAAAGTATACATTATACTCTTGCTTTTGTGTTGTTGTTGATATATTCATACGTCAAAGGGAAATTATTCTTTTCTCCAGGGCTTAGTCCGTTGCAACTATTGGACCTAATCATAACTATTTAGGATAATGTGATCATTCAATTTACATTGCATTCAAAATATGCATTTTATTAGTTCATGCATTCCCTGGGATCTGAACCCATCACTTTGCTGTAGCATGCTCTATTGTTTGAGCTACAAGGATACTATGTTCATTTTACCATGTAATTAAGGACATTTTAAAAGAAGATAAAAATATGTGAAATATGCATTTAATATGTTGTGTGAGCGCTTCTAACAAAGTCATGAAGTGCAATGATCGTGATTCGCTTTGAAGCCGCTGTTGCTGATAGGTGCACTCGACTTTGTTTAAATATTGAACTAGTTCCATATATTTTTAGTTGCTATACAATCTAATGATGCAAAATGTCATAAAAGATGAAGCGCATATTGGATCAAAGACTATTATAATTCAATTTGGCATCACAGAAATAAATTACATTTTCAAATATATTTAATTAGAAAACAGATCTTTTAAATTGTAATAATATTTCACAATATTACTGTTTTTACTGTATTTTTAATAGAAGTGAGCAGAAGAAACTTCAAACATTTGAAGTGTGTGTATACATTACCTGTCAAAAGTTTGGAAACATTAAAAAAAAATGTTTTTGAAAGAAGTCTCTTATGCTCACCAAGGCTGCATTTATTTAATAAAAAATACAGTAAAAACGGTAATATTGTGAAATATTATTACAATTTAAAATAACTGCTTTCTGTTTGAAGACTGGAGTAATGATGCTGAAATTTCAGCTTTGGCATCACAGGAATAAATTACATTTTAAAATATATTAAAATAGAAAATTTAAATTGTAATAATATTTCACAATATTACTGTTTTTACTGTATTTGTTATTAAATAAATGCAGCCTTGGTGGTGAGTATAGAGACTTCTTTGAAAAACATAAAATTGTAATATCTCCAAACTTTGTGCGTGCATGCGTGTGTGTGTGTGTGTGTGTTTTAAACAACATTTACTCTAATATATTGTTCAGGTAAACTTGGATCAAAAATAAAACAACATTCTCAAGGTGTTATCACAATTAATCACAGTTTACACAAAGAATTTAAAACAATTTGTCTGACAATTAATGTCAAGAACCATTTCATAGTTGTTATAGATTTGGTCTTGTTGGTGAATTGTGTGTGTGATGGAGGGTCCTCAGGCAGGGCTGTTGGGGCGGAGGAGCGGGGGGTTCTGATAAATGGCAGGCGGTCTCGTCTGGCTGAAGTCACAGTCTTTGAGCTGAATGGTGAGAAACAGAAGGGCTCTGGACTCTTTTATGGAAATGGAACAAAATTGTTGTCTTCCTGCATCTCTAGAGCAAAAATTATCCTGTCAGGGTGAAGATAAACTGTGCTTGTTCATTCCAACATGCCTGTACACCACGGGTCACGCTGCGGTGGGCTTCTGGGGCTGAAGCCTGAAATGTGTTGATGTCTTCCACCAAGTTTTTTGTTTGTTTGTTTGCTTTAAACTACATGATGTGTTAAATGTGCACTAAGGATTAGTGGTTTTAATTTTAACGCCAATAACATTGAAAGATTCACTTCATAAAAATGACTCTTCTCTGTTTGTTTATATTATTTATTTTCATTATTATTTGTTTGAAAGTGTTTCATAGTGGCTCTGTTCCTAAACGTAATGAGCTGGTAATGTAGGCAGTGTCTGAAGGCATCATAGTTGCACTCCAGACACAAAGAATATCCTGGAATGACCCTGAAAGTCACGTCTATATTTCATATCCTTTTGCTCTCTCGCTCTCGTTTATTTCTACACTCATCATGCACTCTCGCTCTCTTTCAATAGCTCACTCTCTCTCAGTTCCCTAGCTTTCTCACTGTTCCCTGAATCAAATTTTTTTTTCTCGTTTTGAAATGCACCACAGGCTCGTAATTCGTGACAATGTCGTTCTTGGCGGAGCTTGAAAAGACCGGAGGTTTTTTTTTTTACGTTGCCATTGAGCGCTCATGCCATTGAAAAGCTGAATTCATAAATGGATGGAGGATATGTGTGCTGAGAGGGAAACCCAGGGTTGGTAAACCCCTTCTGAGCGCCTCAGCGGTTCTCCAGATTTCTCACTTCCCTCTCGCCGTCTTTCTTGTTGCCAGCTTGTTGCTTCATTAAGTGCTTATTTCAGCGCTCTCCTCCTCATGCTGTTGCAGAGACACAGACTGTCCTAATATTCCTTCCAGCACTTTAACAGAAATGACTTCAGTGGTCGCAGGTGGTTTATTGGAAAACCACACTGGAAGTAGAGCGTGATGATGGCGTGGAAGAGAGAGATGTTTTATTGGCTGTCTGTTAGAGATGTTCAAGACAAGACATTTTGCAATTTTTCACCATTTTAAACGCATCTCTTTTACTAGTTTGAATACATTGTATGGTTAAATATATATTTTTAAAAAATGATATCATTAAGCAATTTTTTCTGTCCAATGCACATTGGATCACAGAAAGCCAAAAGGTAAAAACTGAAGTTAGCTTAATATTTTTTCTGTAATATTAAATCATTTCAATGAATTTTATTTATTTATTTATTTAAATAGTATTTTTATATTATATATTATAGTAAAGTATTGTTAAAATATTTTTTTTTTCATAATTTAAAAGTTTTATAAAATAAAAGTTTTATAATTTTATAATTTAAAAGAATAGTTTTTAAATGTCAAAACCCACAACGACAAAAAATAATATAAAACAGACACTACATGTTTGTTTTCTGAACAAATACACATTGGACTAAAGAAAAAATATTTAATATTATATATATATTATTTTAACATTTATTTTATATTACATTTATTTTAATCTATAAGTTATTGTCATAATTTATAATGTATTATTTATTTATTTGATTTTTTATATATATATAATAAAATATATATTATAAAACAATAATTTATCATTTTATTTAAAATAATATTTGTATATAATTTTTTGTAAAAAAAAACAGCAAAAAATATATTTTCATGTTTTCTGAACAAAATATAAGCAGAACTTATCTGTGTTAAGCTAATCTAATAGAAGATATATTGTGGTTATGATTAATGGCTCAAGTTTTTATGATATTCTGGTCTCTCTATATATATATGGATTCCAGGGGCCGGTTGCATAAACTGCTAAGGCCAGTCTTACAAGTTAGTCATCACATTTTTTTTCTTTAAAGCTTTTCATAACTTTAAGTCTGTTACATAAAAAGTTATATCGGTCTCATCTGAATCAGAAAAGTAAGACTGATTACCCATTGGTTAACTTATTGTTGGTCAAACTAGTTTTTAAGACAAAAGTTTATGCAACTGTCCCCAAGTCTCATTCATGCCGAAGTTTTGTTCCCTTTCCCCATTTACTAGCAATAGTAGTAGTGATGCTTGTCATAAACTAAACACTATTAATTAATAATGGCACTTCATGTTATTCTGCAGTTGGAGCACCTGTTGATCTGTAGTTTACACCTCATGAATTATTCCCTTTTTAATGCATGACCCCATTTAAGTGCACTGTGCTTAAGTATTAGTGTGTGTGTCCCTGTGTGTGTTCATTTGTGCAGTAATTGCAGGCTGTAGGGCAGACGTGTGTGAGCATAATCAGTAGTGCCTGATGAATGGCTGTTTTCTGTCTCTAAGCATTCTGGGAATGCCCCCCTTCCCGAGCCAGGTCTCTCCTGACACTATTTGCCTTCATGTCACAGAATAAACTTGCGTTCTCTTAGCCTGTCTGCCCTAAACTCCCAGCATGCTCGTGTCCTTTGGGTTGTGCATTAGGTGTCACATAGGCCTCTGGCTTCTTTGTGACCATGTTGTTGGTTTGTGTGTAAATCTCGGTGTGGCGTTTTCTCTTTCTGCTTGCTGGGCAATCAAGCATCTCTGTGAGAACGGGAATGGTACATAAGAGGATGTTTGGGGACGGTCGGGTGTTCAGGCCTCGTGTGTATGAAGCCTCTCTGGCTGTGTTTGCTGTCCGCTTGAGTAAACGTCTCACTTCTGTCCTGTGTGAGAAAACACGCTCCTCTTTCATCATATGCATGGGTTCTTGAGGAGAGACATCTTCTAGAACTGCTGAATATTGTTTATTCTGTGCTAAATTAGGATGCCATACCATTTTCATTATTTGGTATTTGAGCAATACCATTTCATTGACTAGAAATTGCTGTTTGTGAAACATTTTTAAGTGCACTACAACAGGAATAACTAAAATGGGACTAATGATTTGTGGGTAGCAAAGTGTGAATTTGCATGAAACGATAACTATTAATAACATCAAATGCACAAAACTACTCTTTTTTTATCATTTGTTTTTAGATTTAATGTTGCTAAACATTTTATATTTAATATTCTTTTTATATATTCTTAATATTTAATACAACATTTAAATTTTGGGGTTTTTTCTCCCTTTTTTGTCAACCATTTTATTTTAACTTGTATAGTTTTGATATTTAATATATTTAATCACATTATATTTTTTATTTATTTTCAAATATAAGAATGTATTGGGTAAAAGATATATAAATCATATCAGTTGGCTTAATTACTTTAGTAAACACAGAACTTTTTATTATCATTTTTTATGTACACTACAATTTTTATTAATTTTAATACTAGGGCTGTCAAACGATTAATCACGATTAATCGCATCCAAAATAAAAGTTTGTGTTTACATAATATATGTGTGTGTGTGCTGTGTATAATTATTTTGTATATAAATGCACACATGTATATATTTAAGAAAAATATGTTATTTATATATAAAATGTTTATATTTATATAAAATATACATTATATATAGGCTACATTCAGTCTATATACAGTATATACATGCAAATATTTCTTAAATACACATGCATGTGTGGGTATTTATGTATTAAAAATAATTATAGACAGTACACACACATATATTATGTAAACAAAAAACAAAAACATTATGTATATTATGTTTTATTTTGGATGCGATTAATTGCGATTAATCGTTTGACAGCCCTATTTAATACATATATATATATATATATATATATTTGTGTGTGTGTGTGTTTCATTTTTAATAACGAATATGAGTCTGTCACACTTGATAGCATTCCCAGTATCGGATCATCTCCACCCTAAATGCAACAGACGTGTGTGTGTGTGTGTGTGTGTGTTAACAGGTTGACAGTGACACTATCTGGAATGAAGTTCACTCGTCCAGTGCTGCTCGTCTGGCTGTGGGATCTGTAGTGGATCTGGTCTTTAAGGTGGCTTCGGGAGAGTTGAGGGTAAGACTGACACTCTCTCACACACTCAATAGTCACAGATGTGTTTAATGCACTTCCAGTCAGTATTTAGAGGCTGAATTATGCGTTTCGCAAATGATTTCCCCTCAGCTCCCGCCCACCCGAAATCTCAGCATAACACACTGAAATACATCCATCATCGCATTCAAAATTGACATGGCTCAAAGCCATGCCTCAGCATGCCCAGAAAAACACAATGCACCTACATAATGCACTAGCTCTTATTTCTCTGTTTCGCACTCTATCTCTGCTTTCTAAAGGAGTATCACACACTGGCAGACTTAAAGTCCTCTTGCTCTCAATAGCCATGCGGCGACACCCAGCAACATAGTAGCATCCACTGAGCTTCATTGTCCATCAGCCTGAATGGAAAATACTTTAACTGTGAGGAGTCAAGGAGGGACTGGACAGAAAGTCTGAGTGGTGTTTCCCAAAGTCACTTTGGAATGATGTTTTGTAAATGAACCCACATTCATTAGCATACCTCTGTTATACTGTGTCCAAGCCAGACGCAGTGAGTCCTCACTGAACGCGAACCGCTGCATTACAGGACAAAATCACAGCTAATCCAAAAATTATTACTGTCATTGTGATAATGGCTACTTAAATGCTACAATAAATTACAACTGAATAATAAAGTGAAATCTTGAAATATATACATATTAGGGGTGGAACGGTTCATGTATTCGTATCGAACCGAAACGGTACGGGCGTCACGGTTCGGTGCACGAATTTACACGGAGAATACACGGTATAAAAATAAATAAAACTCGCGTGCAAATTAATTAATGTAATGCGGAACTACTGTTAGATACGCGGGTTCTTTAGGGACACATAATCTGTACCATCGGCTAGCTCTGAACGCGCGTTCACTTCAAACGTTGGCTTTATACGCGCGTCCTATTCGCTTTGGACTAGCGTCGAACTAGACGCGAATTTGAAGCTCTATTCGCGTTTGGTGTGACCTAATGAACAGGCTGCGATGTCAAGATTGCAATGCTGGAGAGTGTGTGTGTGCGAGAGAGAGAGGCGCGCGCGATCTAACTGTGTGTGTGTGTGTGTGTGTGAGAGAGAGAGAGTCATTTTGTTTATACAGATCATTAAACCTGCAAAGTGTTTACTTATATTTGTGTACACTCGCAATAAAACACAACATTGTGCTTTTGTCACACTGTAACCTACAACTGTCACCCAACCAAAATCACATACACACTGTTTTAAAAGCAAAACATATTTATCCAACTCCATTTCAAAACAGTCTGTCTTTTGGACATTCGTCATATTGCATTGGTTTTCATTTCTCGTCCTCGGAGCACTAATCTTACACATTCAACATTGATTAAAAAAGAAAATCGAATGTGTTTTTAATGGTAGTATTATTTTATACAGAAATCAATTATTTATAATTCAGATGAGAATAATGTTACATTGTCAATTAATAATGTTAATTAAAATTAAGGAAAACAAATATATTGATCTGAAATATAGCAAAATAATTTTAAATTAATAGTACAATTACCAAACATATCGCAAGGTCTTTTTGTCTTTTTATTAATTGAATTAATAAACTAATTATATAAAACTATTGTCAGTGCACTACAAATAAACTGGTTCTATGCCTTTATTAATAAAACTTATTTAAAAAATACAATGCCTTCTGCATTTTTGTTTTGCTTTTTCCCTCCATTGTACCGAAATCGTACCGAACCGTGACGTCTGAACCGAGGTATGAACCGAACCGTGACTTCTGTGTACCGTTCCACCCCTAATACATATACATATATAACAAATACAGTAATGTAAGATTAAACTAAATAAATTAAACTTTAATTCATCAAACTCCCAGTTAATAACAACTCCATAATAATTCTTTTGAAATATTGATTTGTATTATTGTTTATTTATTATTTTTAAATTATATTTCTAATAAAATTATACATTCATTAATTAGTTTAATACTCTAGGTGTGTCCCAAATGATGCACTATACACTATGAACTTATGCACTATGTACTCAACCATGTAGTGTATGAAGTTTTACAAGGTTGTTTTGTCATTCAACATCATAATGCATGATTTTTTTTCCCGGTAAATTAAAGGGATAGTTCACCCAAAAAATTCCAAATAGAAAAAGTACACTTTAAATACCCAGATGATGCACTTAAAGGGATAGTTCACCCAAAAAAGAAAATTCTGTCATCATTTACTCACCCTCAAGTTGTCCCAAACCAAACAGTTGATGGGCCCCATTGACTTCCATAGTATTTTTTTCCATACTATTAAGTGGGGGGTCCATCAATTGTCTGGTCACCCATTTTCTCTTTAAAAATATCTTATTTTTTGTGTTCATACAGAAATTCATACAGGTTTGGAACAACTTGAGGGTGAGTAAATGACAATTTTTGGGTGAACTGTCCCTTTAAGTGCATCATTCGAGTATTTAAAGTTTACTTTTTCTATTTAGAATTTTCAGCGTGAACACACTACTCTCACTATTTATACTGCGAAACCGCATAGAATAGTGCATAACTACTCAAACTGGGATGTCACTACCGTGTTAAGGTTCTTCTGTGTTTCTCATTTCTCAGACAGTGTGTGTGTTTGTGTTCACAGAACGGCTTTGCTGTGGTTCGACCTCCAGGACACCACGCTGAGGAGAGCACTCCCATGTACGTTCTCACTGTATCTCTATGATCTCAAAATAAACCCCACAGCCGATATCAGCATCCACTTCAAACACACGCACAGCATCATAAATCAGTGTTATACACACTATCCTCTCACATAAATGAATTCCAGCTCTGGAGTGGATCGCCTGGCCAAGACTACAGGACTTCCAGCGCTCTCGCTGGCTTCAGTACAGTAATGCAAATTGTCGGTGAGGTGAATTCAGCACAGTAGGCCAGTCTTATCTCCAGACAGACTCACGCCAGTTTTATTTGGAAAGACTAGCATGTGTTGTAAACGGCATTTTTTCATGAGTACGGTAGGCTTTGGCGTGTCTTTTCTGGATCCAGGAATTAAAGAGGTTCCTGTAGCTCGACTTTAGTTAGAGTTTTGATTTCCAGGGAACACACAAACTTCAATATTTAAATGAAAATGGTTAATTAAATATTTCATTAATTAAATTATCTAATTACATTTTTTTTTTTGGGCTGTTTAGCTGTGGCAAGTTTTGCACACAACTTTGTTACCACTTAAATTGTGACTTTTGTTTACCGAACCAATTTTCTCATTTTTTACGCATTGTCAAATTCAACCATTCAACCCTGTTACCCAAGATTAATGTAAGGAACAATAATGAAAAAAAAAAAACAACTTTGTTTCTTTAATTTATGGGCTAAATATGTTTCAGTATATCAGTAACTAAACTAACAATTGGTCCCAAAATAGCTAGCTTTTTATTTTTATTTATTTAGATTTTTTTTCTACTTCATTTTGATGTTTTGTTTATATTAATAGAAAATAATAATCACAGAAAAAAATATTTAGAAATTCCTTAAATTGTGGTAACAAAGTTTAAGAAAAAAACTCACAACTCACATAAAGTGACCATTAGTTTGCCCTTCCTTTTACTGACCAAATCCTAAAAACATACAATAAAACTTGATTTTTGTAAGAGTTTCAGGCCCTACTTTGTACTTTATTCATAAAAAGTGCCATTTATGCCTGATCTGGCATACTTCTGACTGTTTTGAGATGTTTGGGCACACAATGTTCTCACTGTTAAGCTCAGGCAACTTGGATGCAATTTTATTTATCTTGAAGCTTGATGGTTTGTCCAAATGAATGTCAGGTATCGTTAATGTGGGACTAAATTCCCTCTAATTGATGAGTTTTGCTGCTCTAAAAGGCTCAAGCATCACAGCCGCTCCTCCCATCTTTATTCCCAGTGCGTCTCCCTCATTACAGAAAGGTTAAAGTAAACGAGTGTTCCTCAGTCTCTATGCTGAAAGGTTAAATAAAAGGATTGTTCCATCAATGCCGTGTTCGGGGAGTCGACTGAGGTTTGGTGCCTCTGCCGTGGGCCGCGGGCCAGGCCCTGTTCTTGCGCTCTGATGTCAGGCCAGGACGCAGTGGGTGAATCGTGTCATTAGCGAAATGAGACAATCCATCAGGCCAGGAGGTCCACTTCAGAAACGCACACGATCAGGCCCTCCACAATAGATCACACACACCAGCTGACTGCCCTGGTTCTGTGTTCTCTCTCACATGCGGGTTTTTTTGCTTTTGTTTTTGACACAAAAAAACAGGGGATTTTGCTATTTCAACTCGGTCGCCATTGCAGCCAAACTCCTACAGCAGAGACTCAACGTCAGTAAGATTCTCATTGTGGACTGGGTAAGTGCACACTCAATCGGTTTTATTCCATGAAATCATATGTGCTTACTTCATAAACATATTTTTCCCATTTCTTTGCCACTAGTCACCAAACTGAATACACAAATAATCACCATTTCCAAACCGATTTCTGATCACGTGACTGATGGTTGGTGCATGTACCATATAGAAAAAAATTACACACCTCATTTTCAGTAAATGTCCATGGGCAACGTTTTCTTTTCTGCTAACATAACCAGTGCCATGACAGTGGAGAAAAAAGTGATATATTTTTGTTTTATATATATACTTTATTTTATTAAAAATGTAAATATGTTATTATATATATATATATACAATACAGTATATAAAGAAATAGTTCACCTAAATTATCCCATAATTTACTCACCCTCAAGCCATCCTATGTGTAAATGATTGATTCTCTTCTTTCAGCTGAACACAATCAGAGATATATTAAATTAAATAATATCCCAGAAAGCGGAATTGCAGAAGCAAAACAAAACACTGGTCGCGAATTAGAAGTCTAAAACGAGAAGTTTTAAATAATAATTTCAGAGGGTTAGAGGTCAAAAATTGCTAAATTAAATATTTACATAACCAGTGCAATGACAGTGGCAAAAAAACATGTTTAGATGTATTTTTATATATTTTATAAATATTTTATAAAATGCATTAAATATTTTAATATTACTTTTTTTATTATATATATATACACTCACCGGCCACTTTATTAGGTACACCTGTCCAACTGCTCGTTAACACTTAATTTCTAAGCAGCCAATCACATGGTGGCAACTCAGTGCATTTAGTCATGTAGACATGGTCAAGACAATCTCCTGCAGTTTAAACCGAGCATCAGTATGGGGAAGAAAGTTGATTTGAGTGACTTTGAACGTGGCATGATTGTTGGTGCCAGAAGGGCTGGTCTGAGTATTTCAGAAACTGCTAATCTACTGGGATTTTCACGCACAACCATCTCTAGGGTTTACAGAGAATGGTCCGAAAAAGAAAAAACATCCAGTGAGCGGCAGTTATGTGGGCGGAAATGCCTTGTTGATGCCAGAGGTCAGAGGAGAATGGCCAGACTGGTTCGAGCTGATAGAAGGGCAACAGTGACTGAAATAACCACTCGTTACAACCGAGGTATGCAGCAAAGCATTTGTGAAGCCACAACACGCACAACCTTGAGGCGGATGGGCTACAACAGCAGAAGACTCCACCGGGTACCACTCATCTCCACTACAAATAGGAAAAAGAGGCTACAATTTGCAAGAGCTCACCAAAATTGAACAGTTGAAGACTGGAAAAATGTTGCCTGGTCTGATGAGTCTCGATTTCTGTTGAGACATTCAGATGTTAGAGTCAGAATTTGGCGTAAACAGAATGAGAACATGGAACCATCATGCCTTGTTACCACTGTGCAGGCTGGTGGTGGTGGTGTAATGGTGTGGGGGATGTTTTCCTGGCACACTTTAGGCCCCTTAGTGCCAATTGGGCATCGTTTAAATGCCACGGCCTACCTGAGCATTGTTTCTGACCATGTCCATCCCTTTATGGCCACCATGTACCCATCCTCTGATGGCTACTTCCACCATGTCACAAAGCTCTAATCATTTCAAATTGGTTTCTTGAACATGACAATGAGTTCACTGTACTAAAATGGCCTCCACAGTCACCAGATCTCAACCCAATAGAGCATCTTTGGGATGTGGTGGAACGGGAGATTCGCATCATGGATGTGCAGCCGACAAATCTGCGGCAACTGTGTGATGCCATCATGTCAATATGGACCAAACTCCCTGAGGAATGCTTCCAGCACCTTGTTGAATCTATGCCACGAAGAATTGAGGCAGTTCTGAAGGCAAAAGGGGGTCCAACCCGTTACTAGCATGGGGTACCTAATAAAGTGGCCGGTGAGTGTGTGTATATATATATATATATACAACACAAACTCTGAGTTTATGGCATGCGGGACGGTCTCTGTCTCATCCTGGGCCAGCGGTAGCCTAAAATGACAAGTGGCGTCAAGGCAGAGCTCTGCTGGGGTCATTAGGGTTTCTGGATGCCTTTTAAAACGGCTTTCATTTCCTCCTCTCTGTGACACGGCTCTTCTGACAGACCTGCTGTTTACGGGGAAGCTGACCGTGACATGTTGTGGCCGACATGAAAAGAAATCGACTCTTAAACTGTCCTCCTGCATCACTGGCGGCTCAGAATAGATTTTTACACACTTTTCATTCCAATGCGAATACACCAGAGTGACGGCATGTCTTTTTTTACAGCGTCTGATTTTTACATTGCTTAACCAAATATTGTTGTTTTGAGTAGATTAATGATCACTTTAGTGTAGAACAGATGACATGAATTGTTTGTACTGTTGTGCATTAGGACGTTCACCATGGCAACGGGACTCAACAGGCCTTCTACAGTGACCCTAATGTCCTGTATCTGTCTCTCCATCGCTACGATGATGGGAACTTCTTCCCCGGCAGCGGAGCCCCCGATGAGGCGAGTTTCATGTGCCTTTTTTTTTTACAGTATTTGATATACACTAATATACTTTCAAAAGTTTGGGGCTGGTAAGATTTTTTTTATGTTTTTAAAACAAGTCTCTTATGCTTCCCAAGGCTGTATTTATTTGAGAAAAAAAAAAACTGAAAAATTACAACAATAATTGTTTTCTGTTTTAATATATTTTAAAATGCTCTTTATTCCTGTGAATCAGCATCATTGCTCCAGTCTTCAGTGTCACATGATCCTTCATAAATCATTCTTATGATGATTTGCTGCTCAAGAAACATGTCTTATTATCAATGTTGAAAACAGTTGTGCTGCTTAATATTTTTATGGAAACCGTGATGCATTTATTTTCAGGATTCTTTGATAAATAGAATATTTTGTCAAAATGTACAGAAAAGTCACTTTTGATCAATTTAATGCTGAATTGAAAGTATTTTTTTCTTTATTTTATTTTATTTTCTATTCATAAGAAGAAAAAACTTACTGACCACAAACTTTTGACTTGTACTGTATATCACAGTATTTGTGCACTTCTTTTGAAACACCTTAAACTTTTTTTTTCCAGTAAGAGAAACTGTAATTTTGATGTAAATTCAAAATACAAGGCATAAAAAAAAAAAAAACTAGGGCTGTCAAATGATTAATCGTGATTAATCACATCCAAAATAAAAGTTTTTTTTTACATAATATATGTGGGTGCACTGTGTATAATTATTTTGTATATAAATACACACACATGCATGTATATTTAAGGAAAAAAATATTATTTATATATAAAATATTTATATTTATATATAATATAAATTATATATAAATCTATATACAGTATATACATGAAAATATTTCTTAAATATATATAAGCATGTTTGTGTATTTATATATATAAAATAATTATACACAGTGCACCCACATATATTATGTAAAAAAAACTTTTATTTTGGATGTGATTAATCACGATTAATCATTTGACAGTCCTAAATAAAACATTTTTATTTTAAACCTGAAAATAAACATTTTAGGATTTTGTAAAATATAAAACTGAGAAAAAACACGGGAAAAATGCACTGTCTGTAGGTGAAAACTCGTGACGTTTATCGTGCGAGTTGTTTGCATAGACGATAAGATGCAGATGCTCTTTGAATAATTCTCAAATCATCCTGGAGAACATGCTCAAAAACTGAAGCTGAAAATGCTTTTAGGGCAATAGGGCTATTGCAAACAGCAACCAGTATACACTACTACATAGAAATTTCATGTTGGTGCGTTATTTGAGCGGACTTTGCTTTTGCGATGAGCGTTACATGAGTGGAGCGCACGTGCACAGAGCAGAATATTGAGCAAAGCCCCACACCGGGCAGTGATAACGGCTAGAGCGAGAGTGTAACCTGACTGAGTGGCATATATTTTCGGCCGTTTTTCTCTTTCGGCCTTAAACTGAAAATGACATTTTCAGCCGATAATTTCCAGCGGCCAAAATTGAGTTGCCTCCCTTATATATGCACTGTACGGTAAAGACAGTTGTGTTCTTCTTTTGCCCTGATTTGACTCCCATTTCTCTCAGTTATAATTAATGCTCTATCATTAATCCGATAAGTCAGCTCCTGCCTCTGAACTAATGAGGGGATTGAAATTGAATTGACTCAGTTGTACCCCTAAATTCTGGTATTAGTCAAAGTCCATTTGGCTTTCAAATAAGACCTCATTACAGTTTAACTCTGGTCGTAATTGTTGGGATTTGTCCTTCATTGGCTCTGTGACATCAGCCTTGATTTAGCGCTTTCCCTGAGGATGTTTGAATGTGCATGATTCATAACACTTGCTCATCTGCTCCAGTAAGACCTGTGCTGGGAGCTTAGTAGACTTAGTACTACACCACATATTTAATAGAGTTGTATTTGTGGCTTGTCTATATAGGTGGGCATCGGTCCAGGCGTGGGCTTTAACGTGAACATGGCATTCACCGGAGGTCTGGAGCCGCCCATGGGGGACACGGAGTATCTGGCAGCATTCAGGTAACATCGTCACACATACACCTCTTTTACACCAAAACAAGCAGGACGGTCTACATAAGTGTATACAACTGTTAACGTCTCTCAGCATCTTTATGCCATGATGAGCTGACTTTGGTGTTGGCGTCAGACGTAATGGAACCATATATTGAATATATTTAATTCTGGGATTTTTTGTTAATAAAATCAAGTTATTTTAAACTGACACATAGACAAAAGTGTGTGGAGTACTGTAGATTTGTAGTGTCTGCCAACTGCACGTGTATCACATCAACTTTGTCGATTATAATGTTATTTTTGTCTAATTTTCCAGTTAAATGACTAAAAATCCTTAAAACAAGAAATTTTAGAAACAACACTGCATAAGATATTAAGGTATCTTTAAAATTAGTGTATTTTGACAGATTTTTACATTTGTTTTAATCATAAAAATAAGTTATAATCAACTGAGAAAATGAATTTATATTTAAAACAAATGCAGTCATTTAAGTATTATTTATATACTGTTATAGCTTTATTTTTATTTTTTCAGTTTTTTATTTTAATTTTAGTTGCAGTTTTAGTCATTTTGTTATGTGCCTTTCTATTTACCTTTAATTTATTTTTATTTCAGTTTTAGTTTTAGGAATTTTAGTTCTTAAACTTATTTATTTCAGTTTGTTGCCAACATTAGTAGTTTTCAATCAAGTTTTTTTTTTTTTTTTTTTTTTTTTATTACAGAAACAGATTTTTAATAGTTTTAGTTGACAATTATAACAACACTAGTGTTTCTTTGCAAGTAAAGTTTTATTTTAAAGTATTGTTTTAAGGATTTTAAATTTTTGTAATGAAAAACAAAAAAACACTGGTTATTTGTTCCTGGTTCAAGACAGCAGGTTTTAGTGTCTGGTGCAGAAGCCATGTTTCTCATGCAGATTTTTTTTCCTCTCTCTTTTTTTTGGGAAACGTGCAGAATGAGTCCAGTTTGAGCAGCGGCATCATGTTGATTAAAGACGCACTTATAACTAATGCACAGATATATTTGCCTTACTGAGCTTATTATATATTTATTTCTTTGAATAGCTATTACTCCCTCAAACTATTTATATTACCACCAGCTGCACAGTCAGAGATTTTATGTGGGCACATGTGGCCTGAGAGTGGCCTGTTTAAGGCTGAATTTATCACAAGGCAATGTCCTTTTATTGGATGGGCATGGGCTACCCCAGTGACCTCACAGCCAATAGAAGGACTGTATTTCACCACTGAGTTTAACTCAGAATAGGATGTGATGATTGAGAATGTTGGAAGAGTCTAACAGACTCTTAAGAGCTGTAAGTTAAACACACTTCAGTTTGATCAGCTGGATCAATGAACCTTTTCTTTTTTGGCAGGAAAAAAACTATTTCAAAGAGAAGGGTTCTGTTTCAAAAACCTAGTGAGCTGTTGCTGTTTGAGCATGGAAAAAGTCTGTAAAGTTACAAAGCGCAAGGTCCAGTCCAAATGAAGTTATTCTCTATATCAGTAAGCACCATTTCTGAACTTCCTGAAACGACTCGATTGTAGTCTTGAGTTGTCTTTCGGGAACATACACATCACAATATTATTCATTTTAATAATTCCCACCCAAGGCATCTGCAAATAAAGAGGGCGAGGCCAGGTTGAGTTGCGTTAGTAGTGTGTTGAAGTTCTCGGTTATGGAAAGGGGTGTAACATTTCCGAAACATACTCGAAGCAGTTGACCAATCACAACACACTGGTCCAGCTGACCAATCAGAGCACATTGCGATTTTTGGAAGGAGGGGCTTCATAGAGACCGGAAATAAAAAGAGCATTACTGATGGACTGGGAAAAGAGGTGCTGCAACAATGTAAAAAAAATTGGGAATTATTTTTTTTTTTTAACATTCAAGCATGAAAACCTATTCCAGGAGACCTCAAAAACAAAAACAAGACTGAAAAGGGGCATAATAGGTCCCCTGTTAACACATTTTAATAACAGTTCCTGGTATTATTTGTTTTATATTTTATCACTGACATTTAATTAGCATCGTCTGCCATCTTTGGATGTCGTTTTTCACTAACTTGTGAAACTCTCTGTAAAGAATACACATGATAATGCCTTAAAATTTGGTCAAAATAAGACATGTTTGAATTATTCTGCCTACTTTTTTGGTATTTGAGTCATTTTCATGCTCCCTTAAAATGAAGGCAGCTCACTAGGTTTTAAAACAGAGCCAAACCAACTCACCGCCGGTTTAATATTGCCTACTAACACACCCATATGACAGCCAAACAGTGTGAAAAGCCCCATTTTCACAGGGATTTTCTTGAACGGTAGGTGGTTGTTGGAGAATTGGTGGGAGAATGGTGTCTTGTAACAATTTGTATAAGCTCTGCTCATCCGTTGAACTGTCCCTTTTATCTGTAGCAGGGGCTGATGGGAGTCTTTGATGGTGAGCCAGTTAAGCTGAGCCCCATTAGCATTGGTGTTTGGGGCTATTAATAACCCCTTCCCTCACAGCGCGGGGCGCACGGCCGATTCGAGATGCTCTTTGAAGAGGGGCCTCCGTGCCCAACGCGTTCAGGCTGCTTCGACAGGTAGATGGCTAAAATATGGCCCGCTGCAGGGCGATGATAAGACAGGATAGTCCTCGCTCATCCCTGTTTTTTTAAAACCAGACCACCTCCCTCTCTTTGACCCAATCAGCCCGTCTGTCCGGCCGTTGTCGTAAATCTCTCCCCAACACGTCTTCGATGAATTCGCTGCACCTCTTCAGCGGCTTTTCCTCACGCAGGGTCTAAGCGATGCCAGCTGAGTCTGACCCAAATCTCCCCCTGACCTCATCTACATCAGCACCCATGTTAAGATGCTCCGGTTTGGCCATTGAGAATCAGTCGGATAGATTTTGTAGAGATCTACCTTTGTAAAGGCTTTCACTCGCTTTACATTGCCATACTCAGAGACTCATTGGTTGCCAGCTGCTGTACTCATACACTGGCGCACACCTTCACTCTATCAGTCCATTCATTCTGATTCATCCTCCAGTAGAGACGGCTGCTGTGTTAGTGGTAACCAGTAGGCCTGGGTAAAAAATATCGATTTCTCGATATTAATCGATTCTCATTTTTACGAACCGATATCGATTCTTAAATCTCAAGAATCGATTAGTCATCCTGTTTTCATTTGATGAATGAATGGAACATTGTAGCGCGCATCCCATCCAATAAATCGCAATAATCTTTGTGCTTTGTTACTATTGATACTAAATAAAGTCTTGAATTTCAAATTACGTCCATTTTCTTACAAAATTCAAAAACATAAATAGTGTTTTGGCGCTGTGAGATCGCTCTGGCTCAGCTCAGCTCAAGAGAAGCAGCAGCGCGGAGCGCACATGATCTCCTCTTCCGCCTTAATAATACCAGTTACAGCGCGAAATAAACATGAACGAGCATCTGAAAGTGTGTTAAACGATAGAGTACAACTTATCGAAATCCGTATCATGTCACATGGAATCGCTCAATCAGTGTTTCAACCGTGGAAAGACGTCAGTAAAACAACTTGTAAACAATGTCATGTAACGTCACATTTACCTCAGAAAAAACATATGTGACCATAAACTCGTTAGCTAGCTAGAAAAATTAACTCTAAAGAGGAGCATTTTGCTAAATATATGCACCATATGATATTACATATTCATTATAATTTTTAATGTTCTTCGATATTTAATGCATGTTTGAATAAATCTGGCAAGTTTTTATAACAGCCACCATTTAAATGTTTATATTTCATATAACTTTATTATTATAAAAATAAATAAAAGTGTAATTTAAGTGTTTGTATAGCTACAAATCAGTTAATTTTTACCTTCAATATTATAGTAGGCTAATGAAGCCTAGTAGGCTACAACTGACTCCCATAGTTTACAGCATTAGTTAAGAGATTTGTTTTCCTTGAGAAAATTTGCCATGTATTGTACCTGATATCCAAAATAATCAATATTGAATCGAATCGAATCCGAATCGAATCGAATTGCAAGCTTGTGAATCGAAATCTAATCGAATTGTGAAATTTGTATCAATACCCAGCCCTAGTAACCAGTCATTCTACAATTGCCCTGACGGATGTTGTCACTCACTTTTTAGTCAAACTGCTATGCACACAATTCCTATTGAAAATCATATTTTAGTTTTTAAAACACCTTTTAACTGCAACTTGGCATAAATGATATGACCTAATAAATATTTACAATCATTTTGATTTTGAAAAATAAGCATGCCACCCATTCGTTATTCAGCTGATTAGAGACAATTTTTTAGTTCAAATACAGTAATAAAATTAGCAAAAAAAAATAACAGATTTGTTGTGAAACATAGTATCTAAGAAATGTATAAGCACAGTAAAAAAGTTAAATTCTTCAAAAGATTTTGAATAATTTACATAAAAGCATTTGTCGCTAATTATTTCAAATGTGAAAGGTACTATATTGTATCATGTTGTAAAATTACAAATACAATTATTTAATTTTATATATAAATTATTAAAGTGTAATATTGCAAATATTGGAAAAAAAAATTGTACAACTGGAACATTTTATGAAAAATGCTTGCTGCTAAATGACTAAATGTAAATTTGATTAAAAAGTTGTTCCTTAGGTTAAAGGTCATGTGGTCATGTTTATTATAATACATTTTTATTATTATTGATTGCAATTAGATAGTGTGACCTTAAATAAAACTGTAAAAGAGGGTATAATACAGAAATTTGGATGGATGAGTTTCGTGTCTGAAAAAGTTCTGTTGAAAATGCCACCACAGTTGTGGAATGACCCAAGCCATATTTGCGTCAGCGTTTGCCTCACCCGCGAGAGTATGCGTGTAGCTCAGCACAAATGTAATGCTCTACTGTTTGAGTTACAGGGGCACCTGAGCCATTATTATAATCGAATTACATGCAAATCTGCTCATGATTCATTCTGAGTCAAAGGAAACTCCATGTTAAGTGACTCAACCTTTAAATGATCT